TGGTATGCTTGTGTTTCTTTCTCTCTAATTTTTGTATATCTATTGTAGGTTAGCAGGTTTTTCCTTTTCAGCACTTTGAGTATATCATGCCATTCCCTTCTAGCCTGCAAAGTTTCTGCAAAAATATGAGTTAGTAACCTTCTTTAGGTTCCCTTGTATGAGAGTCTTCATTTTTCTCTTGCTGCCTTTAGAATTTTCTCTTTAACTTTTGCTGATTTAATTATGATATGTCTTGGTGTGTGTCTTTTTAGTTCATCTTGTTTGGGACCCTCTGTGCTTCTTGTACCTGGATATCTGTTTCCTTCTTCAGGTTTATGAAGTTTTCAGCTATAATTTCATCAAATACATTTTCTACCCCGTTCTTTCTCTCTTCTCCTCTGGGACCCATATAATGCAGTGTTGGTACAACTGATGTTGTCCCAGAGATCCCTTAAACTGTTCTTCTTTCTTTCATCCTCTCTCCCTCCCTTTCTTCCTTCCTTCCTCCCTTCTTTCCTTCCTTCCTTTTCTCCCTTCTTCCCTTCCTTTCCTGATTTGGTTATTTCCATTATTCTATCTTCCAGATCACTTTTCTGTACTTGGGTATCACCTAGTCAGCTGTTAATCCTTCTATTGTGTTTTCCATTTCAGTTACAGTATTTTTCAATTCTAACTAATTCTTTTTTATATTTTCTACTTCATTATTAAAATTCACACTGTGTTCAGCTATTCTTTTCCCTGCTTCGGTTAGCATATTTTATTACTAATGCATTGAACTCCTAATCTGGTAAATTTTTAATTTCTGTCTCATTAGTTGTTTTTTTCAGGGATTTTCTCTTGCTCTTTCAATTGAGACAAATTCCTCTGCTCATTTTGCTTAACTTTCTCTGTCTTTATGAAATTAGGTGAAACTGTTGCCTATTGCAGTCTTTAATGGGTGCCTTTGTGTGGTACAGTCTGCTTGTGCCCAGTGGCTTTTGTGGGAGAGCTGAATCTGATGTGAACACAGAACATGTCTTTCCTCAGGTTTGCTGGCATCTATCACCTTGGTAGGAGGCTGGAGATGGAGTTGCTAGATCAGAGCCAGGTGTAGCTGGGGCTTTTTCTCTGCTCAGTGGCCATCACTGCTCTGTACGGGGTGGGGTCTGTTCCCAAGTTGCTGGAGCAGAAGTTTTGTTTTTTTTTTTCTCTCTCTTTTATTGGATTCTTTTTTTTACATCTTTATTGGAGGATAATTGATTTACATTGTTGTGTTAGTTTCTGCTGTGTAACAGAGTGAATCAGCTGTACGTATACATATATCCCCATATCCCCTTCCTCTTGCGTCTCCCTCCCACCCTCCCTGTCCCACCCCTCTAGGTGGTCACAAAGCACTGAGCTGATCTCCCTGTGCTATGCAGCTGCCTCCCACTAGCTATCTGTTTTACATTTGGTAGTGTATATATGTCCATGCTACTCTCTCACTTCGTCCCAGCTTACCCTTCCCTCTCCCAGTGTCCTCAAGTCCATTCTCTGTGTCTGTGTCTTTATTCCCGTCCTGCCCCTAGGTTCTTCAGAACCATTGGTTTTTTTTAGAGTCCGTATATATGTGTTAGCATATGGTATTTATTTTTCCCTGACTTACTTCACTCTGTATGACAGACTCTAGGTCCAGCCACTCACTACAAATAACTCAATTTCATTTCTTTTTATGGCTGAGTAATATTCCATTGTCTATATGTGCCACATCTTTATCCATTCATCTGTTGATGGACACTTAGGTTGCTTCCACGTCCTGGCTGTTGTAAATAGTGTGGAGCAGAAGTTTTGAGGGTTGGGTCTGAGCTGGCTCCATTCCCTTGAAATCTGTTTTCTCCTCAATCCCAGCACCAGCATTCTTGCCCAGGAGGGGAGCAGTGCCCGGGCAAGAGGGATTGGCATGGGCACTTGGCATTGGTCTGGGTGCGAATTGTGGCTGTCTGACCACAGACAGAAATCATGGCTGCTCTAATGTGCTGCCTGTGTAAGCATCAGTAATGGCTGCTCCCACCCTGCTCAGACACGCTTTAGGTCTGTGTTGCTTTTGTTTCTCACAGCTGAGCTTTCTGCTCAGCTGTAGCAGCCCTCACCCCAGTGAGGCTGGAGCAGTTGCTAGACTTAGAGTGGGATGTGTGCTGGAGCAGTCACAGGAAACCAGTCAGCCACCCATGCAGTTTCAGTCCACCCTCTCCGCCCTTTTTTGGAAGTAAGCAAGCGAGGATGTGCTCCTCATGAATGGAGTCCAGGCTTCTCACAGCCCTCCTGTTAGTTCCCCCAGCCCTCCAAACAGCAAGGAGACTCACATTCTCAGTGTCTGACAAGGGTGCCCAATTTGTGACTCAAACCACCTACTCCCTAGAGAGGATCTCTGTCTGTGTGATCGTTCTTCTTCTGAGTCCCCTCCTAGGGGCACAGGTCCAGACCTGATAGCTTCTCATCCATTTATACCCAATTCTATATGCATCTTTCTTACAGTCTTCTAGTTCTGCTAGCCTACAGTTAGCTTTCAGTGAGAACTGTTTCACGTGTAGACATATTTTTGATGTGTTCTGTATCCTCCTGCTTTGCCATCTTGATTTCTTCTCCCTGAGTTAATTTAGTTTTGTTTGTAATCTATATTCTGTGTATATATCAGGTTAGATTAATTATTTTAGGTGTTTGTCTATTGCATTTAATTTGTCAAATATATTGGTGTGTTTTCATATAATATTCTTATAACTTTAAAATTTCTGAGAGTTTTTCAATAATGTGTCTTTTTTTCGATATTGATAATTTTTTTCTCTTTTTCTTTGGTAGGTCAGTTTATCAATTTTACTGATTTTTTTCAAAATACCAGTTTTTAACTTTGTTGATTTTCTCTATTGTATTTTTAATTTTTGCTTTTTATTTATTTTATTCTTAATATTTTCCTTAGATTTTATTTGGTTGTCTTTTTTCTAGATTCTTGAAATAGAAATTCAAAGTATTGATAATTCATTATTTTCTTTTTCCTAATATATGCATTTTTTTTGTCTATAAACTTTCTGCTAAGCCCTTCTTCAGTTTCATACCACAAGTTTTGGTTTGTATTTTTTTAATTCATAAGTTACTCATTGCTTTTGTTGTTTAATTTCCAGGGAGTTAGATATTTTCTAGTTACCCTTTTGGGATTGGTTTCTAGCTTATCTCTGTTGTGGTCAGAAAACTTATTCTGTATTCAGTTTTTTAACCCTGTTGAAGCTTTTTTTATGATCTGGCATTGGCTAATTTTCACAAATATTCCGTGTATACTTGAAAATTATGTAAATTTTGCTCTTGGTTATTTTAATTTTCTCTAAAGTCAATTAATTCAAGTTTGTTAATAGTAACGTTCAGATTTTCTATACCTTTACTTTTTATTTCTATTTCTTCTATCATGTATTGAGAAGAAGTCTCTATGATTTTGAATTTTTTCTTTTAGTTCCGTCAATTTTTACTTTAAATATTTTGAAGCTGTGTGTTTGGATGCATACATATTTGGAATGTGCTGTCTTCCTGTTTGGTTATTTTCTTTATCATTATCAACTGTCTTTTGTCTCTAGAAGTATCTCAAGTTTTAGAATTTGGCATTAGAATGATTACACTAATTTTGGGGATTGGTGTTCGCATGGTATATTTTTCCATTCTTTTACTTTCAATTTTCTGTTGGTTTTCTTTATAAAGTGTGTTTCTCATAAACAGTGTATCATTTGGTTTTGCATTTTTATTCACCATGGCAGTCTTAATATTTGTAGTACAGTTTGTAGTACAGTTTGTAGTACAGTTAACCAATTCATGCAATAACTAATGTAGTTTTCTAATTAACCTGGTAGTTTTTAATGGCTACCCTGTGTATAACAGTATGCGTCTGTGACTTATTTTTTTAATATAAATACTTTGAAACTTTTCCAGTATTGGTCTTTAACTCCATATACTCAATACCTGCCTTTGCATTATTGTTGTGCTGCATTTGTCATAGATTTTCAGTGGTTTTACTATGATGTCCTTAGAAGTAGTTTTCTTTGCATTTATCCTGCTTGCATTTTCTTGAATCATTCTAGTTGATGTAGAGTTATTACATTGAACCTTTAAATTTGTTTTTTACTAATAATGGTTAAAGTTCAGCATTATTTTGATATTGTTTTTTAACCATTTACATATCCTCTTTCATAAAGTACATATTGAATTCTTTTCACATTAACTTTAAAAAGTTAAGTAAATTTTAAAATCTATTCTAGGATTCTCAAAAATTCATTACATTGTTTTTCTTAACATTAGAAAATAATCTTTGATAATATATATTTTTTACCTAAAAAATTATTTTTTATCAGTTAAAATCATAAGTAATGCATGTAATTGTTGATTGATTTTTCTGTATATGTTGTATAATTAATATAATTGTGTTTTATATTAGAATATAAAAAAACTCCTTTGTGACGCAGATGTTTACTTTTTCTCAGTTTAATTTATTGCAAAGTACCTGTGTACGGCAGTCTGAATAAATCTTTTTTGACGTTAATAATGGATTCTTTGCAATTACTCATACGTTGTTAATTCCAGGTTTTTACCAGGTCATTCTGTTTTCAAGTGTTACATCTTAAATACTAGTACAATAAACACTTTGATGAATTTTGAAGTAGAGAATAATTAATAAGAGTTTCTATTTTTGTCATCTATAATCAAACATTTCAGAAAAATTGGTAATATCAAACATATAGTTAATGTTAAAACTATATTGAATATAAGTAGATATTCCTTTGATGCTTCAGTATCCTAGGATTGTCTTAATGAATATTATTTATCCTTGTTTGCATAAGTGCTGATTGATCAGTAGAGCATTCTCGTTAATAGTCTTTTGGGTGGCCTTGCTGTTGCTGTATTTTGGACTGTATCGAAAAGCCTGTAGTAAAAACTATTTAGAAGTACTAGAAAATTATATTTTTTAATGTCATGTAGCAAAATACAGAATATTCCGGCCAACTAATTATGTCATTTTGAAAAAACAGGACCACGTTATGTGGTACAAATAGGTGACAAAATTATCGACTACAATGAAGAATTTCGCCTTTTTTTGTCAACAAGAAACCCAAATCCCTTTATTCCACCGGATGCAGCTTCCATCGTTACTGAGGTTAACTTTACTACAACAAGAAGTGGATTACGAGGACAGGTATATATGGACAATCATTTGCCTTAGAAATATTTAGTATCTTTGTATACTAATGAAATATTTTGAGTGGGAAGCTGTTTTGTTAAACTGATTAGCATTTAAACTCATGATTTTGAAAATATACTTGCAAATCAGTAACACATTTGGGTTTATTTCATTTTCCATTAGTGTTAGAATTGTATATTTGTTGCTAATGTCAAATTGCTGCTTCTTCCAGTATAACTTTAATTTTACAGTCTACGTCTGTCATATTTGTTAGAATTTGAGAAATGCAGGATCATACATGTTAAGATTAGCAACTTTATTTTTTTTAACTGTGAAAACTGAAGTTTAAATGTTAAAATTGCAGTTATTGACTTATTCAGCTAGGTGAGGGTCTTTGATTCCAAATCCAACATTTTTTTTTTTTTTACTTAGAGCATTTGCATGTTTGAATTTACTTTATCTGTGTATGGCTTATTACAGTTTATAGTTATTACATGAATTACAAAATGATTTTCATGTACAGATTTTTACTTATACACTCCCTTACTCATTTTTCCTCTTTAAAGATATCCTGTTGACTTTTTTAGTATCATCCTGTTTTCTACCATCTAACAATAGTATATTTTTCTCTTTTAATTTATATGATAGCATGTATATTTACCATGGTTTTTACTTTATTGTAATTTTTAAAACTCTGCTATTAAAATATTTTTCTTACCATACTAGATGACTCACTGCATATTTTTATGAACAATGTCTTTTGATTGGCTTGATGATACTTCTCATAAATAAAACAATGTACAGATTACTCAGAGCTTGGCAGAATTGACAAATTGCTTCTTCTATATAAAAGATCTCCACAGTAATTGCTGAAAAGGGCTATTTAGGTATTACTTTAACAAGAACTGAATGAACATGCTTATACAATAGATTTCGAATTAATATATTTTATGACATGCAAATGTCATTTCCTATTTTAAAGTTTCAAACTGAAGAATTTGACATAGCAGTTTTCAACAGCTTTATTAAGATTCAGTTCATATATCATACAATTCACCCCTTGAAAGTTTACAATTCAATGCTTTTTTAGTGGAATTTCTGAGTTTTATGGTAACTCTATGTTTACCATTTTGAGGAATAGACAAAGTTTTCCAAAGTAGCTGCACAATTTTACTTTCCTACCAATAATGTATGAGGGTTCCCCTTTCTCCACATTCTGGCCAACATTTATTATCATTTGTCTTTTTATTTATAGCCATCTTAGTGGATGTGATGTGGTATCTCATTGTGATTTTAATATAGTATTTTAAGTAAGGCAACTATTTCTTTTTGTGACTACTTACCATTAAAAATGTTTGCTTCCATAGTTTTTATACATTTAATCTAATTTAAGAACTGAATATTACATGTTGATATGTTAAGTAATGCAATTTCTTATAGTGTCCTATAATATTTAACATTTTATCAATTAGTTAACTATTCAGTTTGCCTCTTTTGTCAGAAATAATTGTGAACGTGTCTCATATGTTTAACTAGAAAGAATGAAATGAAGTACATAGTAGTATCATTATACTTGTAATATTTGATCAAACATAAGACCTGTTTGTGGGAAGTTTTCATTTTGGTTTGTTTTGTTTGAACTTTATTGCTAGAATAACCTTGGATTTTTTTTTAAGCTTTTGGCATTAACTATTCAGCATGAGAAACCTGATTTAGAGGACCAGAAAACAAAACTATTACAACAGGAGGAAGATAAGAAAATACAGTTAGCTAAGCTTGAAGAATCTCTTTTAGAGGTAAAATTGAGCTATTCAGGATATTTTTCATATTATATTATTTTGATTATAATCAAATATTGTTTTTTAAAAAATTATAGTACCTTTAGCATGTTTTTGGTTGTATCAAAGACACATCAATATGTATCTTAAAGTCAAAATTCAAATAGAAAAAGGTAGATGTCTTGGAATATAAGACTTCTAGGAGTAATGTTTAAGACAAGCAATTTTTAACTAATATCGTCTTTATACTGTATTATTTCATTAATATTTGATTTTATGCTCAGAAAAACATTCAAAGGTAGCATGAAATTATGATTTGATCTGTAACTTTAGTCTTTATTTTTATTAGGTTGATAAAATTAATACATATACAATGTTTTGATGATATAGTATCATATAATGATTTACAGTGTCTTTTGATACAGAAGGCTGTAAAATAATGAAATTCTTTTAAGAGAACATAAGTTCCCCAAAACATCATCAAATTAATGATAGTTAACATGGGCTTCTTTTAATTGATTATTTTAATATATATAATAATGTTCATATTATTTTATTAATTTTTCTGCAGACACTTGCCACATCTCAAGGCAATATTTTGGAAAATAAGGATTTGATTGAATCTTTGAATCAGACAAAAGCAAGCAGTGCACTTATTCAGGAGTCACTTAAAGAATCTTACAAACTCCAAATTTCTCTTGATCAAGTAAATATTTCCTTCTTTGTGATCTTATATTGTTTTCTTAAACTTTCATGTTAATATGATAAAAATTTTAGTACCAGGACTTCAGGGGAATGATGACTGCAAAAAAAGAAAGCTATTCAAAAACACCAGGTCCTTGGGTCTAATTCTTATTATAGAGATGGCGATAGATGTTGAGGGTATCAAGTGTAAGGAGTGCTGGTCATTGAGCCCTGCTGAGTACTACTGATTTCTGGCATGTTATCCAAAGTTCTAGAGCTATAAACTTGTACTGAAATTGAAAATGAATGTGTTTAAAATGACTATTAGAGAGCATCTTTGCCATTCCTGGAACTTTTCTTAAGTTAAGGCAAGTTAAGTATATCAATAAAAGAGTTAAAAGCTATTCTTTCCATCAAAAACATTTTTCTTCCCTACTCATCCTGGACCCCATGAATGTGTTGATCTGAACTCTTTTCTTAAAAATGGTTAAAATCCTTCTTGCTTTATTCTTTTGACATTTCCTAGAGCAAAATTTCAACCTTATATCAGTACAATGTATCTTTTTTTTTTCCTCCTACATTCGGTGACAAAGATTTGCTGAAGAAAATCAAACAATGAAGCAGATTAATGTTATTGTGAATTCCCAGTCTCCAACCTGACCTGGACCCTTACTGACATCCTTTAATATTTCCCATTTCCCTCAATGACTTTTCCAAATGTTATTTTAGGTGTTTTTCAGCTCTTGCTTAAATTCTACACTTACATAGTATTAGTTTCTTCACTTGAGAAAGAGCTCTGTTGAAATCAGAATAAGAGAAAACCTATAGCCTGTTTCCAATCCAGTCATCCCACCTTCTCTACCATAGGTAAAATTGGCAGATGTCATAGCTGTCACTGTATACCAAAAGGATTTTGAACTTTCTGTGCCTTCTCTTTCCGAACAGGCATCTCTGAGTCACACACATAATTTTACCAGTATCATATTTATAATCCTGGTGCTTTGATCAGAATGACATGGAGAGCCTTCTCAGAGTTCAGTTCATAACCTCAAGGCCATTTAATCCTATGATCCTTTCATCTTTATCATCATTTACCTTCAGTCAGAATGAAAGCCCCTGTGATTATTGGTTCTATGCTTATGTTGAACAATGCTAGGTGCTTTATTATCTTAATGTGGACACTCGTTACAGTCTTCTACTTTACCTCTGCTTCCATCAGTGTTCTTGTTGGTACCAGTCCCACACACTAGATTCATTGTTCTAACTTTTCTCCACTGCAGGGGTAGCCTGTAGTGCCATGCTGTCTTACATGACCTACGTGACCTCTGATCACAACTGTTTACCATTCCATTTAACCCTAATACAGGTGCTTACCTCTTTCCCCTAATACAAGTATTCTTGGTCTTCATTGAAACCAACCCATGTACTACTTCTAGTTCTGTAATCAGAGGAGAGGGGAAGTATTTAGAATACATTGCTTGCAGTTACATAAAAATACAAAACAAAAGTGTAATATCTTAGGATTAAAAGAAGTATAAAAACTTAAAAATAGAAAAGCTGGATTATGCAGTTTCTTTATAAAATTCTGTGATTAATCTTTATTTGTTGTATGTATGTTGAAAGTAAGGCTGCGGCTAGATATGTGCATAGCAGTCTGTGGCAGTAAACATTAGAACTAAGGTGTCACCCTTCCCGGCCCCCACCCCCACCCCTTGTTCCACAGGAGCGGGATGCCTATCTCCCTCTGGCTGAGAGTGCCAGCAAGATGTACTTCATTATCTCTGACTTGTCAAAAATTAATAACATGTACCGTTTTAGTTTGGCTGCATTTCTCCGACTTTTCCAGCGAGCTCTGCAAAACAAACAGGTATGCTGTTGGTTACCCCATAGCTGAGACTGAATGAGAGAGATTGCTTTACTAGCTGTTTAATTTATAATAATTTCCTGAGAAAAGTTGCTTGGAATTATATTTCAAAAGACCATATGTAACACTTTTAAACTATATTTAAAAGAAACTAGCTCCTTAGTTGCATTTTGTGTTTTTAACAAACTGTCCCAATGTGGCAGTCCTCTTAATGGAAATGATTTATGTTCTGAGTATAAATTAATAAATGATTGTCTTCTCAGATGATCATTAAAAAAAACCATGGATGATTCAGGAAGGTATAAAGATAAGAAATTATCCACATAATCCTATTACCTGGGGAAAACAACATTTAAAATTTCATTGTATACGAATGTTGTTTGAGGCTATAATACATACCCGATATTGTTCTAGAAAATGGGAATACAGGGATATACACTGTTTTATCAAGCTTGTATTCTAATGGAGGGAACAATATATTAAAGAATACATATAATTTTTACCAAAAGGTATAATACTGTGCTTTAAAAATATATTGTACAGGGGCTTCCCTGGTGGCGCAGTGGTTGAGAATCCGCCTGCCAATGCAGGGGACACGGGTTCGTGCCCTGGTCCGGGAAGATCCCACATGCCGCAGAGTGGCTGGGCCCGTGAGCCATGGTCGCTGAGCGTGCGCGTCCAGAGCCTGTGCTCCGCAACGGGAGAGGCCAAAACAGTGAGAGGCCCGCGTACCACACACAAAAAAAATATATATATATATATATATATATATATATATATATATAGTACACAATTTTCATGTCAATAAATACAAACCTACACAATATTTTTGAGAGCTTGTGAGGCTATACCCTACTTTATTTAGCTACCTCCTATAGGGTGTTATGGTTATCTCTGCTGAATATCTTATTACCCCCAAATTTAGCAGATTAAAACAATGTTTCTCTTATGCTCATTGATTCTTTCTTATGCTCATGGATTCTATGGGGAATTTTGTCAGGGCACTGCAGGGATGGCTTACCTCTGCTTCACAAGGTCTGGGGTCTTGGTTGTGAGGAATTGAGAGTGCAAGTGGTTTTGGGGAGGCTTCACTTTCATATCTGGTACTTGGGGTGGGTGGACTTGATGACTAGGACTGCTGACTGCAGTACCTCTCCGTGAAGCTTGGCTTCCTCACAGCACAGAGTAATTGGATTCCTCATATTGCATACTGAGATACCAAACATGTATTTCAGTGAACAAGGCAGAAGCTGAATTGCCTTTTATGACCCAGCCTTGGGTCATTTCTGCTGTATTCTATGGGTTGAAGCAGTCAGAGCCTACACAGATTCAAGAAGGGGAAAGAGACTTTAATGATGGATGGAGGGTCAAAGAATTTGGGGGTTATGTTTAAAATAGCTATAGACACTTACAGGGCTTTTTCCCCAGTGTTTTGTTTCTCCAATTATTTTCCTAGTTAAATTCCTAGACTTGGATAGCTCGGGCAAAAATGCACATTTGTAAGCCTTTAGACAAATACTGTCTAATTATCCTTTGGAAATATATGCTGTTGGTCTATTAAACTAATACAACAACAGGGGCCTTTTTAATCTATACCTTGAGCAAAAATGAATATTATATAACTTTTAATAATTATCCTATTAGGTAATTGAAAAATATTTCACTATATTTGAAGTCTTTGGTCACTTGTAAGATAAATATCACTTGTAAGATAAATATCAGATTATTTGTGTTTTTTCTTTGGTAAATTATTATTTTTACAAATATGGTATTACTATTTTAAAATTTTACTTATAAGAGCTTATATATTAAGGACACTAAACCTTTGTCATAAATATTTTGGGTTTATTAATTTGCTTTTTAATTTATTAAAAAATATATATATATATATATTTTGTGGTACGCGGCCTCTCACTGCTGCGGCCTCTTCCGCTGCGGAGCACAGGCTCCGGACGCTCAGGCCCAGCGGCCATGGGCCCAGCCGCTCCGCGGCACGCGGGATCCTCCGGGACGGGGCACGAACCCGCGTCCCCTGCATCGGCAGGCGGACTCTCAACCACTGCGCCACCAGGGAAGACCCTAAAAAATATTTTTATGAAACCAAATTCATCAAGTTGTTTATAATTTTTGTGTTCAGTATAATACTAATATAAGTGTTTTTTAGAATTATATTTTGGGTGAGAATAATTTGTTCTTTTAGATAGTTAGGAGTAAAATTTCATATCCGAGTAGGTTTACTTAAGTCTATCTTTCTGAGGAAAGATTATTATTCATTCAGTTAATATTTATCGCAGACTTACCATGTGGCAGGCATTTTTCTAGGTGCATGGGTGATATAATGGAGAATAAAACAGGAAAAAATCTTTGTCTTCATTGGCATGGACTACTTAATATTTTCATGAATGAGTTATTTCAGAAAATCTTTATTTGATTACAAATAATGATTAAAGTTTACTGATGTCTTTTCCACTAAAGTAAATCATTTGAAGTTGTTCTTACATTAGATTTGAAATAAAATGGCACCTAACGGAATGCTTCTGCCTTGGGGGTAGGCTTTGTAAAATGACAGTAAAATCTGTCATCTCAGTCCTGGGGGACAAGGTAAGCATTTCTCCCATGTATATATGTAATGTCCTTTGGACAAAGATAAGGTTTCAAGATGCAGGAAAGGGTTGAAGAATACATAATTGTGTTCTTTGTCCTTTGGTTTTAAAAAAAATTGAATTTTAATATGTTAAATTTAATCAAACCATTTATAATATTGTGCTGGTAGAAGAATTTTTACAAAAAACAGTAATAGTGTAAAGTCTGTGAGAGTTGGGTCATGATATATTGATCATATTTCTAATTTGCTGTGTCACAGGTAAATCTAGAGAGTCATTTATACTTAACTTCGTTTTTATTAATAATTTTGTATAAATTACTTAGAAAGTACACAGTAATAAGTTCATTTAAAATTCATTCTTATCTTTTAGTAAAAAAATTGTATGTTAAAATTCAATGACCCTATAAAATATAAGGACTGAGAAATAAGTTAGAAGGTCTAAATCAACTTAGTAAAAATACTGGTTATTTTGTACTGTTTAGAAAAGCTTATAGCTCAGTACTTCCTTAGTGACAATAGTTCTGTGATAATACGGCCATTGAATAACATTGACCTTTGCATGTGTTTGTACGTGTATATGCACATGTGTGTTTAGGTGGGCATTTGAGTTCATTTGAAAAATATAATCTGAAATACATAGAAGTACATACATTGAAAATCTACTGGACCTTGTAGGTACTATATTCTGTCTCACATTAGAGTGTCTTTTAGTGGATCTAAGCTTCAATTTCACATGTGATCTTTGTTAATAAATAGTAAAATTAAGAGAAGTGTTTGTGGTATGAACTGTGAATAATGAGCTCTCTTGGTTAGAACATGCTACTAACACGGCCAGAAACCTACATTTGATGTATCTGAGTATCAAGTCACAATGTTTTCTGCTAATTTCACACATTTTATTGCTCATCCTGTCGTCCTGGGTGTACTTCTCTAAACTGTTAAAATTATTTTGCTAGTTTTTTTTTTTCCTTGCCAATTATCATCACAAGGAAGCAAGCAAATTTTGTCTAAATGTTATACCAGAATTGAATTCTGCAAGGCATGTATTCTCCAATTGCACCCAGAATGAAGTGAAACTTACACTCATATCACACCAAGGGAAAAGGCCAGCCTTTACAACATCCCCTCCACTATTCCTACCCCAAGCCATTTTTCATTAATCAAATAAAATATCCATTAATGATATTTTTCAAATCATAGCAATCATGTACAATGGAGGTACAAAAGCAGATAAAAAACTAAAACTATGTATGAATTTTTACACCACGTATTTCAAATTCAAGCTGGAGGGCATGGTTTAAGATTGTTTAAGTTCCTGTACTGGGGATGAGAAAATTCTTTATAGTATGGTTCTGGTCATACTGTTTTGGGGCTGGATTGGTAATTATAATACAAGTAATTAAATGGCTTTAACCCAGATTGACGTAGTATTTTTAATGCCAGTAGGAATCAAAGTGGTATGGTCAAATTCAATTCATATGATATTACTGGTAATTGATTATAATTTTCATTTATTGAAAGCTTTAACTCTATCTATACATTAAAAAATACATCAGTTTTTTATTATATTAATGTAGAAGTTTAATGCACTTATTCGTCTAGTCCCTTGAGTCTGTTTGCTGAAGATAATTGTCCCAGAATCAGTTTTGAGTCTGGAGGAACAATTTATAAGCATGATTAAACTGTGGGGTACCTTTTAAATGTTCATGAATTTCCTAATGGTTTTTCAATTTTCAAATTGTAATCTACAGGATTCTGAAAATACAGAACAGAGGATTCAGTCTCTCATCAACTCATTAAAACATATGGTATATGAATATATATGCCGTTGCCTATTTAAGGTAAGAAACATTGTGTTTTTCACTTATAAAATATTACCTGAACCTTGATTTAATACAGTATTAGGTTAAATTATATTAAATTATACATAACTCTTTACATACTAAAAAGGTATTAAAATTGACATTTCTGATATTTTCCCAGAATAAAATTCATTACTAACCAGAATGTCTTACAGCACTTGGGAGGTCGTAGGGAGAAAAGTGACAAGTAAAGAAGGGAGAGCAAACCCTGGGTTAGCTGACTTAGCCCTGAACATGTCAGTAGCCACTGAAAGAAGGAACGAGGATGGATTATGTAGGTCATTTTCTAGCCGATGTTTCTCAATCTCAGTACCAGTGACATTTTGTGCCACATAGTTAATTGTTGTGGGGGGCTTTTTTGTGCATTTTAGGATATTTAGTGTCACCTCTGGCCTCTATCTTCTGGTGCCATTAGCCCTCCATTTCCCCGCTGTGACAATCAAAATCATCTCTTGACACTGCTGGATGTCCCCTGGGTTGGGGAACAAAATAATTGTCTATTCTTCGCATTATGAAGTAAACTAACACCTGATCCTGAGTTACGAAAGAAATTTGTCATAAGTCTTCAAATTATAGGGGACCCAGAGGAATATACAGTGAAACATATTTTAGAAATTTCTTAATATTATAGAAAACACAGAGGGTTTTCACTTAGGACTTCTTTTTAATGTCAGTCCTTGGGTATAGCTTGAGATATGTTAAAAAAGCACTTTGTAAGGCAGTTAACTAAGTGAGAGGAATAGAGTTATTATGGTCCAATTATATAGGTTTCTTAGAAAATCTTGAAAAAGATATACTTAATATTGTTACTATAGAATAAGATAGTAATTTTTATGATTAGAGTGATTTTGTTGAAGATCTTTACTTCAGACAGAGAATAAACCCTTCAAAGTACCTTTCAGCACTTTGACAAGGGGTGTTATTGGAAATTCAAAGAATTATAGTTGAGGATTTCTGCAGAATTCCTTCTTTACTGAAAACTATGGATATATATTTTTCTTTTATAGGTCTTATAGTTTACTATAATTCTGAAAATCAGCTATTTGGCCTTCAATTTTAACTTGTGTAAAATGAGGAATTGTAAGCAAATAATTGTCAGTAGTTATGATCTTAGATATAAGGATGATATATCAGTAGTTTCATTTGTTATAGATTCATGATATCTTTAAACATTTTTATAATGCATTATCTCATATAAAACTTTGTAAAATTTGATTACCCAAAATTTTAAAATATTTTCAGAAAATGTTTCAAATTTAATGAGCTATATAGAAGAAAACTTTAAACATTCATTTCATCCTCTCCTCTAACTCTTAGTCCTTCATTAGAGTAAACCAGTTCAAGGTTTGATATGTTCCTTATAATCTGTTTCTTCTCTCTTCATATTCATATGTACAAATATATAGATACAGTTTTAAAATTTTTCCTTACATTATAGTTTCTTCTGTAACAACTCTTTTGTGGCAATAGGTCCTGAAGATCTTTACATAAGTATAGATATGTTAACCTTATTATTTTGAGTGGTTGTGTAGCATTCCATAATATAATTATATGCTAGTACTCTACTGGTGGATATTAGATTATTTCTATATTGTTTGTTGTTATGAATGACTGCAGTTCAGTGAACAACCTGTTCAGTTCCTTCACCTTTATGTACATGTACGAGTAAGTAAGCAGTGGCTTTCTTTTCTAGGAGTTTTATGCTTTCAAGTCTTGCGTTCATGTCTTTTTTCCCCTCTTTTTTTATTGAAGTATAATTGATTTAGAATATTATATTAGTTTCAGGTGCACAGCATAGTGATTTGATATTTTTATACATTACATGATAAGTCTAGTAACCATCTGTCACCATACAAAGTTATTACAATATTATTGACTATATTCCCTATGCTGTACATTACACCCCCATAACCTATTTTATAACTGGAAGTTTGTACCTCTTAATCTTCCTCATCAATTTCGCTCATCTCCCAACTCTCTCTCCTCAGGCAACCACCAGTTTGTTCTCTGTATCTATGAATCTGTTTCTGTCTTGTTATGTTTGTTTTGTTTTTTAGATTCTACATAAAAGTAAAATCATATGGGGTATTTGTCTTTCTCTGTCTAATTTATTTCACTTAGCATAATACTCTCTAGGTCCGTCCATGTTGTCACAAATGGCAAGATTTCATTACTTTTTTATGGGCAAGTAATATTGCATTGTGTATACACACACACACACACACACACCACATCTTCTTTATCCATTCATCTTTGGATGGACACTTAGGATGCGTCCATATCTTGGCTATTGTAAATAATGCTGCAGTGAACATAGGGGAGCATACATCTTTTCAAATTAGTGTTTTTGTTCATTTCTTTTGAAAAATACCCCAAAAGTGCAATTGCTAGATCATATGGCAGTTCTATTTTTACGTTTTTTGAAGAACCTCCATACTGTTTTACATAGTGGCTGTACTAATTTACAATCCCACCAACAGCGCACAAGGGTTCCCTTTTCTCCACATCCTTGTTAACCCTTGTTATTTGTTGTCTTTTTGATTATAGCCATTCTGGACAGACGTGAGGTGATATCTCTTTGCAGTTTTAATTTGCATTTCCTTGATGATTAGTGATGTTTAACATCCTTTCATGTGTCTGTTGGTCATTTGTTTGTCTTCTTTGGAAAAATGTCTATTCACGTGATTTGTCCATTTTTAAATAACAATTTACAGTTGTTATGTCTGCTCGTTGGATTGATCCCTTTATCATTATGTAATGTCTTTTTATGTCTCTTGTTACAGTCTTTATTTTAAAGTCTGTTAAATTCTGTTTTAAAGAAAGCTCCGCTTTCTTTTCATTTTCATTTTCATGGAGTTGATTTTTCCATCCGCTCACTTTAGTCTGTGTTTGTCTTTAGTTCTTAAGTGAGTCTCTTATAGGCAGCATATATATGACTCTTGATTTTTTATTCATTCAGCCACTCTGTATCTTTTGATTGGAGCATTTAGTCTATTTACATTTAAAGTAATTATTGGTAGGTATGTACTTATTGCCATTTTAATAATTGTTTTCTGGTTATTTTTATAGTTCATTTTTGTTTCTGTCATCTTATTTTGCCCTCTTCCCTTGTGATTTGATGACTGTATTTAATTTTATGTTTGGATTCTTTTTTTTTGTATGTATCTCTTATAGATTTTTAGTTTGTGGTTACCATGAGATTCATATATAAAAACCTATTTGTGTGTGTGTGTGTGTTAGTTTAAGGTTTAAGTTGATGCTCTCTTAAGTTTGAATGCATGCTAACAATCCTGTGTTTTTACTCACCTTCCCCCAATGTTTACTGTTTTTTGTTTGTTTGTTTGTTTACTGTTTTTGACATCATATTTTGTATCTTTTTGTTTTGTGTACCCTGCAACGTTTCTGCTGAAAAGTCAGCTCATTGTCTTATGAAAGTTCCCTTGTGTATAACTAATTGCTTTTCTCTTGCTGCTCTTAAGATTCTTTCTTTATCTTTAATTTTTACCACTTTTTAGTAATGTGTCTTTGTTTAGACCTCTTTGGTTTCATCTTGTTTGGGACTCTGTGATTTCTGGACTTGGATGTCTTTTTCCTTTTCAGGTTAGGGACATTATCAGCTATTATTTCTTCAAATAAGTTCTTTGCCTCTTTCTCTCTCTTTCTCCTTGTGAGACCCCCTATAAAGTGAATGTTAGTATGCTTGATGTTGTCCTTGAGGTCTTTTAAACTATTCTAAAATTTTCAAATTCCTTTTTCTTTTCTTTCTCTTCAGCTTGGGTGATTTCCACTACTCTGTCTTCCAGTTTACTGATTCATTTCATTTTATTATCTAATCTGCTTTGATTGCTTTCTCGTATATTTTTTATGTCAGTTATTGTATTCTTCAGCTCTGTTTAGTTCATCTTTATATTTTTTCACTCTTTGTTAACTTTTTCTCTATGTCCATCCATTCATCTCCTGAGTTTGTTGAGCATCTTCATGGTCATTAACTTGAACACTCTATTGGGTAGATTGCTTATCTCCACTTTACTTAGTTCTTCTTCTGGGGCTTTGTCTTTTTCCTTTGTTTCAAACATACTCCTCTGTCTCCTCATTTTGCTGAATTCTCTTTTTATTTCTATGAACTCTAAGTCAAGTATGTTTTCCAGTCTTGGAGAATGGTTTATGTGGGAGATGTCTTATGGAGCTTAGCAGCATACCCCCTTCTGCTTACCAGAGCTATATGCTCTAAGGTTGCCCCCTATGTGGGCTGCATGGACCCTTCTATTATGGCGGGGCCAGGTACTGTGGTCATACTAGTCAGCAGCACTGGTCCCTGTTCTAGGTGGCTACCAGGCCCTACTTCATGTATTGACTGCCAGGCCCTGGTGTGTGGGGCCATGTCCCAGCATGGCTGGTCACATAGCCTGAGGATCCTGGGGCTGGTGCTGGCCTGCTGATGGGCAGGACCAGGTTCTGGGCTGGCTGGCTGCAGGTCCTGGGGAGGCTGGAGCTCATGCCAGCCCACTGGTGGGAGGGGCTGGGGCTGCAGGGCTTGGGGGCTGGGGAGGCTGGGGTTGGTATCGGTCTGCTGGTGTGCAGAGCTGGTTCCTGGATTGGCTGGCTGTGGGTCTGGGGTTTCTGGCTCTGGTGCTAGCCCACTGATGGGTGGGTAAGCCCCTGACATTAGTAGGCTGGAGGGAGGACTCCAAAATGGTGCTGCTAGACCAGTGTCCTGGTGGTTGAACCTTATCATTCAACCCTACCCTAACTCTTGGCTGTCTCTTAAACCTTTGTGATTGTTCAAGCAGCCTATTATATTCTTATTATCTCCCTGTAGCTTGAGGGTGTCTCATGACCTGTCAGCATCATATGGAGGAAGTTTATCAGTCAGCAGTAGATTCAGGATGCTTTGAAGCCAGATGCTCAGGGAGCAAATTTTAAAGTATGAAAATATATACAGTCCTATGGGACTGCAAGTATAATCCCCACTGGCCATT